GCGTGCCCGCTTGTGAGCCTTCGGGGTCGATGGCGATCCCCTCTGGGGTGCCTGCGGCCTGTGTTTCTGCAGCCAAGCTGATGGCCGCTGCACCCCGTAACGCCGTGGGATGTGCTTAGCCAGGAGTAACCGTGCTGTTTTCCCCCGACAAGCATAAACAGGCCCCTCCCTGAGGGGAGAAGGTGCCAAGAGCTTGGGCAGGATTTGCCCCGCGATAATAAAATGCAGCTGGGCCCAACTGGAGGCTCGCCCAGGCACGCTTCTGGTTAATTTTTGCACCCGTGCTTTATCGGTTCGCTTCACCCTGTAATCGTGGTCAGTAAGCCCCATGGCCTCCTGCAGTGGCAGGCTGCTGTGTGGCATTTTATTTAAGCCCTGCTGCTCGTTAATCTTTTTCTGTAGGGTGCTGATTTTTTGCACGAAGGCCGAGGCCACTCGGTTTGGGCACGAGCATATTCCCCCTGCCCTGCCTTCCCTTCTCCTCCGCCTCTCGGGCAGGGCAGCAGCAGCAAGAGGGAGTGTGAGTGGCAGAGCCCAGCTGTGGATGGGAATGAAAAACATCCTGTTTGTTTGTATAAACAGTGAGTCAGTTTTACTGGCAAAGAAAGCTCTCAGCCAGTGGCTTTCCCAGCAGAAAAGGTCAAAACTGGCCGGGGAAAGAGTTAAACGTTGGTTGCAGATGAAATAGGAAGGGACAGACTCTGAAGTCAGAGAAGGGGAAAGTATGTGACCAAACAGCCTTTGAAGTCACTCTGGGGAGGCTGCTTACATTCTGCTCCCTCATCCATATGATTATCAGAGGCGTACATGGTAGCCGGGTACTTAAATGGTTTTGGACTCCTCTACCAGCTGGAAAGGTCTGAATGCAGAGCTTTGAAGTTAGTGGGAGGGGGAGAAGCGTGCTATGAGATGGCAGGGGTGGTAGAGAATGATGGCTAAGGGACTGTGCGTAAAAAGGTCAAGAGGAACAAAGAGTGCCCAGAATATGGGATGGCAGAGAGAGATTTAAATATCATGGAGGGGGAGGAATTATTTACGGCCCTATGGAGGATTCAGCCAGCATCCTTCAACTGCAGTCCATAAATGAGGCGGAATAGGAGGAAATTCTTCCAGAGCTGACCTGTTAATCTACAGAATTGTTGTTCCATGGGAACGGATAAAAATGTTGTTGTTTAGGTCATTACAGGTCCTGTAAGCCCTTGGAAAGCGTGCGGCTTTCATTCTGTGCTGCCCAGTGAGACAGGTCTCTCTTCCAAGTCCTCTACCCCTGACTGTGGCTTGGTGGGGAGCGTATCCCTTCCCTGCGCTGCACGGTGAGATGCTCTCCGACTCTGATCAGTCTGGTGCATTTGAGATTAGTTATTGGCAAATACTTGCTGAAGAGGAGCAAGGTAAAATAGCAGAGCAGCCCTTACTTTCTGGAAAGGAGTTTTCATTAAGAGAGAGAGGGTGAATGCATTTTCCCGGCAGTTGTTTCTGGAGAGACTTAAAAAGAGCTCCTCTGAGCTGAAGGGAAGTGCTGATGCTCTTGTTTGGAGGAAAGGAGGAATGGAGACAGCCTCTGCTGGCACAAGTGCCACCCTGGGACCTTTGCTGTTGAATCTATATGGAACGGGGAGATAAACTCTTTGATGGTGGGATTGCGTGTCTATATGTGCGTAGTATTGTGTGAGCTGGTGTTTGGCTCAAGCCAATGTGTTGTTGAGGGACATGAAAGGTTTTACGATAGAGTCAAGTGAGCAACTAAACCATTTAAGTGCTAGGCCCTGATTAAACGGGGAGAAGTTTGTGATAGAAGAACGGGCATCTAGAAGCAGGTGCAGAATGTGTTTTGGTGCTACCTGCGGGTAATGCTGGACCTTCTGATGACAAATAGGACTTAAGTTTTCAGCAAACAGGCTGATTCTCAACCAGTCTTCTGCTACAGCAATCTGTATTTACGTTACCTAGAGCCTCCACCTTGAGGATTTGGAGGAACCTGTACTCGTACAAGGGAGCATTACCCTTGTTTTACAACCGAAGGAGGAGCTCAGGAGCAGGGGAGGAGAGCACTGGGAGATGGCAGGTAGTCAGCTGTCTGGTGGTGGGCAAAGGTGCCATTTGAGAACGTGCTGTGGCGGGGGTGGGTGTCTGCGGAGTGCAATGCTTGCTGCAGTGGCCGGCAGCAGTCAGATGTTTCTGCTCTGCCATACACTGAGCTGTATCTGTTTGCTCATCAAGAGCAGTAACTTGCTGCCTTTTTCCTGCCTAACAATTTCTCGTTTGATTTCTAGGTTGTTTTCCTCCACCTCCCTGAGACCCCTCTTCCTCCTCAGCATGTCCCTTCTTGGCATTCTCTTGCTGGAGAGGTGGAAGCCCAGGTTCCTCTTTGATTTCTCAGGTATGTGATGAGTAGCACTGTAGCTAGTGACAGTTCTGGTGTTACCAGCTGCTGGGCTATGGCCACAGCCGGTCCTTTCCTGGCTCTCTCATAGGTCATGTAAGCCCTGTTCCTACTGTAACTGCAGGTTTTGATACTGGTGCTGCCTCTTGCCTATTTGTGTATTAGGATGTATCCTAATACTCTGGGCATGGGGAGAATTGCTCCCAGTGCTGAGAAGTTCTGGGGGTAGCCCATTTTGAGAGTGACTAGCTTGTCAGGGGAGCTGGTGACAGGGATGATGCAGTGTTTCTGCTGTGTCCTTTCTCTCCTGCAAATGTCGTGGCGAAAAGATCATTCCAGGTCTGAGCACATATGGCCAGCTGAGCTGGGAGAAGGAAATGGAGGGGTTGAAGTGTATTGGTTTTAGTTAAGCGCAGCACGGGCTTATGCCCTGAAAGAGGCAGAGCAGATGAGAGCCACTTCTCCTTGCAGCAGGTAGCAGAGTGGATGATGAGGTCTGACAGCAGGGACAGGTAGTGTATTGTACCTGTACTGAACAGCATCTGGTCTCCAGCTAATCGGTGAGTCTGATCACTTGGCTTATCTTTCCCGTTTATTGAAGGGTCTTTGCCAACATTAGACCCAAAAGCAACAGGAGGAATAGCCGCATAACGATGATAGGCATGGATTGGCTGCTGTCTGCTTTGAGTGCCTCCTTCATTGGAGTTTATTAAATGACTGGACCCAGACCTGCCTACTGCATCTACTGCTGCTGTTCAAAGGCAGCTCGGGGCCCTCCATCCCTGCCCCCCTACTCTAGGGAGGGTTTCTGAATGAAAGCCCCTCTATATGTGTGTTTGTAAGGTGTCCTTTATTTGACCTAAAAGGGTACTGACTTAAAGGGTGCTTTCACAGAAGTCTTGATAAGATTAGATATGTTTCAGCTGTAGTCTTGAAACTGTTTGCTTTGTGTGGTTCAGGTAACTAGGCAGCCGAACTGGACTGGCCAATTTAATTTCCTGCTTATTCGCGTTGGTTTTTTAAGGAAATAGTTTAAAGCCAACCCAAAACATCTCACTTGAAACGTGTCCAGAAATGCAAAAGCCTGGTGTCCAATACAGAATGGTATCATTGATGCAGGTGGGAGTAGAATCGCTCCAGCAAGTACCAGGCCTGTAAAAGTTGCGTTATCACAGAAGAAATAGGAAATCCGTACTGAAATCAATCAGTTTATATGATGCAGAGCAGTGAGTACTAAAACAAACAAACAAACAAACAAAAAAGGCAAAAACCAGCACACCGGGGTTAGGCTAATCCTGTGTCATCAGCTCTGCAAGAAGTCAGTGCACATCCTACTGAGCCGCACCTCAGTGGTGTTCTTCCCCGTATTTCACTCCTTGCTGCTTTTCTGCTGCTGACAGTAAAGGACAGGGACACCTCTCTGATGTGCCTGGTCAGGTCACAGCCCCGATTTCGACATGGTCCACTGGACCGTGTTTCCTCAGCCTCCGCAAGGAAGGAGCGGTGCTCTGCATTCCTGAGGGGCCTTCTGTTGAATTGGCACTGCTGAATACTTAGGGGTTCTTGTGTGACTCTCGTTTCCCGCTGAAGCAGAGTTGCAGCTTTGTGGCTTTCCTCCTCAGTGCTTCCTGTAAGCCTTTCCTGGAGATTTTGGAAGTAGGTCAGTACTGCACCTTCAAGAGTCGGCACGTATATACACAAACCTCAGCTTGTGGCAGTTCTGTATGTCTCGGGTGACTGCTTATAACGTCACTTCTGAAGGAATGCTAAAACCTCAGCATGTGTTTTGCAGTTACTCACACACTGTGATCAGGGACACACTAACAGCAGCAAGATGCACAACGTTTTTAGGTCCTGTCAGAAGGGACTGCGTATTTTCAGCTCCCACGCAGGGTATTTTCTCCATGTGTAACCACCTCTACATGGGGTTCCACTTAAATATTGTTTAAGGACTTAGGAAGCACCTCTACTTTCTCCTGAAATGGGTATCAAGTAGGGATGTTTTCTGTACCGTTGTTCGGCAGCTGTGTT